TGCATCTTCATTTTGTTGCTTTTTTGTTGAGATGTTGTTTTGAAAAGTTTGTATGCTAACTTTGTTTTCTCCTTTGGACTTCATTTATCCAATTTTCGCACCAGTTCCCATCCCGTCAAAGCTCAACGGCTCGTCTCTGTCCGCCTTGTCCATGTGTAAGGAGGGTCTCGGGATGGGAGCCGTGTCCAACCCGGCCGAGGTCTTCTGTTCGGTCCCAGGTCGCCTCTCGCTGCTAAGCTCCACCTCCAAGTACAAGGTGACAGTCGGGGAGGTGCAGCGTCGCCTCTCCCCGCCAGAGTGCCTCAATGCCTCTCTGCTGGGTGGAGTCCTCCGGAGGTAAGAGGAGTCTCTCTGTGGTCATAGAGGTGTTTTCAAAGTTTGTCTCATTGACTGTATATAAAGATGGACTACACGTCTCCACCTCCTCCTCTTGTACAAAAATGAAGCCAAAATAAGACAGACGCTCACATATTGCACATTGCACTGAAGGGATCTCTTACTGGTGGATCCTGCCCATTCTACTAACCAAAGCACACATTCTCACTTACGGCTAAAACGTCAAAGATCCCCTGAGTTGGTACAGTCCAGATTCTCGTTGCGGTTTGAAGCGGACACTCGCTTGTTATGGAAAGTTCAATAACTCTTTTGTTAGTCTCCGTTAAGTTTCCTCTTACTCTTCCTCGTTCACTCTTAATTAGGTACACAGCGCCACAAATGAGCTATTAAATGTGACGTCATACCATTTTATTTTTACATAAAGATAAACTTTATTAAATTGATTAAATTAAATAAAAGGAGAACATCAGTTAAAGGCTTTAAATGTGATTTTTCACACTTAAATATAATATAAATCAAGTATATCCTCTGAAAATAACTCTGTGAGTCATGACTGTCTACAATGGGTGTAACACCCGAGTCCCACTGTCTGTGATGTTTTCAGAGTCCTATCTTCAGTTTGTTTACATCGCCGGGACGGCCGGCTGACTCCTCCCCTCGTGTATAAAAGTTGTTTAATTGAGGGACTAGAGAAAAGAAGAATAACATACTGTACTCACTGCTTAACTGTGTTTCTAGATCACGCTCATTTCAGGTAAATTTACATGCAGTGTGAAGATACCAGCATAATAAAGATTGCTAGCATTAGCATGCTAACACAACAATGCACAGCGAGTTGTTCTGGTTTCATGCTGGTGCTCAAGGGCGACATCTGCTGGGTCAAAAAATTGCATATAAAGCCTTTAAATAAAGGGAGAACATCAGTTAAATAAAGGGAGAAATCAAGTAACTACTAAAATATAAACTTCTACACAATTTAACAATTTTACAAAATCTGCATGATAGAACTATAATGTCAGAACATGTAATAGTTTGACATGTATTTTAATTTTGATAGTTTGACTCATGTCCCATCTGTTAACATGTAGGAGGAGGCGCTTATGACCTATACCCCAGCCAGTCAGTAGGGGGAGCTCTAAATATTTTGGCTTCACTTTCAGGGTGCAGTTGTGCTGTCGATCTTTTTACACATTTAATGGATTAACCTCATTTGGGCCTCGTTGTGTTCATGTAAACAGGATGAGGAGAAGTGTTGTTGAACTGATACAGATTTGTTGGATCACAAGCGTGAAAGGTTGAGAACAAATTCATGAAATAACTTGATAAGGATAAAAAAAACATCTGTTGGTGGTTTTCGTTTTAGAGCGTCCTGGAAGAGAGAGGCAGCTCCGTTAAACAAGTAAACAATGACTCGCCTTACATACAAACATTATACAAGATACATGAGGAAAGAAACCCTGAAATAACGTGGAGGAAACTAGCAAATGTTCACAATCATGAACATATCAGACAGAACATCTATAGCCTCCATATTTTGATAATAATCTAATTTAACAAATCTAAAAGTAGACTTGAAGATTCAGGGAAGGAAAGATCTCCCAAAAGCCTTGAATTGTACTTTTTACATTTTCAGTAGGCTTCTAGTTCAACAATATGCAGACACTAAGAATGAAAAGATTCAGAAGCCAACACTTCAACCGTTTGTACATAATGTCAACCAACATCCAGTTTTATTCAACACTGATGTAATGCCCCGTTCAAAACACCAGTGGCAGCCATCTTGGTTTGTTTACTAAGGAAGTGCCTGCACAGCGCTTTAACCTGCACCTTGTACGTTGTGATCTGTTTGTGCAAATAATAACACACGAGCTCATAGATTTTTATTCCAAAAGCAGCCGTGGATGATACCGGATATTTATTCTTTCTTTTTTGTGAAAGAGCAGAAAAAACACAGAGAGCCAGGGTTTGACAGTCAAACAAACAGCGGTAGCAGGGGAGAGACAGCCGTTACAAAAAAGATCTTGAGCTTCATTTTGTGTTAAAAGTTGTTTAAAAGTAGCTCTAGTAAAATGGTGAACATGAACTACCCCGGTGTACTGTCAACACTGTGATGTAGGCTGCGTCCTTGTATTGAATTTGTAAGTAAAGATTGCCGTTATCATGCTTTGAGCCACATGACAAGGGTGACTCTTGGTTGCACACATCCTTTGCTATGAACCATGTCCTCTAATTCTCCGGAAGCTTTCAGAGTGAAGCGCTTTAACTTTACTATGAGGCCCCATGCTGAGGACCCAAAATGGGTCATGGGACTAAATCACAAGAGGAGCAATGTGTTTTAATGAACCACAGCCCCGGGGCGAGAGAACAACTTTATGATTCGAGTAGAGGGCTGAAATTCTTTAAAAGGACATCATTAAAAGATCTGAAGCGTAGTAAATATCATATAGCGTCATCAGCAGAGACAAACAGCGACTCCTCTGATAATAATACACGGCTGTCCATCATCATGAGGGATTTCTCTTGAGTTTTCCCACTTCCACTCTACACTTCCACACTGACAAAATGAGTTCTTTGCAACTATATCAAAGCTTGAATTAGTTGTTGCTTGGTAAACTAGGATTTATCATATGTTAGGCTTAAAAAAACACTTTCCTTGTGTATCGATAAACCACTGAACGGTGCATAAAGCTTGTCAAATTAGCCCCACCTCAAAGCGAATACAACAGCAACAAATTCAAATTCCACATCAACACTAATCCATATAAATTATTAATCTAAAATATGAGTAAAGTATCTCACAAGGGGCAATTATCTGCACAATGTACTTTTCTTTTTTTTTTTAATTATGGGACATTTTCTACTAATTAAGGAAGCCCTAAGCGGACATGCATCTTTACATTTTATTTACTCTGTTTCGGTTTCTTTAGATCTGGACTTTATTATCTCATATCCCAAGAGCTTCAAACGCACAAAAAAACATAGAAACAGGCTTAACTTGTGGTGTTCCCCAGGGGTCCGTTTTGGGCCCACTGTCGTTTTTGTTTTATGTTCCTGACAACTGCTATATAAATAAACTTTACTTACTTACTTAACTTACGTCATCAGTGTCGGCAATGACAGCATGTCATGTGGTTGTCCGGCCTATCGTACTGACCAGCCGATTGTTACCTTAACTAGATCACTATAAAATCATAGAAATAAGTCGACATATCAATCAACAAGCTGGAATTACTCGTTACCATGTGATTGTTGAGTAAATTAGTTGTTTGGTTTATGTCCACTTAGGGCTTCCGTAATCATTACTGCTTTGCTGTTACTTCATTTTGAATGCTGGGAGTATTTTGATTCTATTTATTAGAAGATGAATCCGAGAAAAGTCTCTGAATATGTCTTCTGCCACTGCTGCCGATCAGATGAATGACTTTAAAATATATTTTTAAAAGTAATTATTAAAATGTTCTTACATTTTAGACATTAAAAAACAAAAAGGGATTAGTACAGGCAAAAGAAAGTCGAGCAAGAACTGCAAAAAAACACCAAAAGATACAAGATCCTATCAGTGTTGACAGGGAGCATACTGAAGGAAGATTTCAGCTTCACATTCACTTACATAAAAGCACACACACACACACACACACACACACACACACACACACACACACACACACACACACACACACACACACACACACGCACACACAGCATGACAAATCTCATAAAGACAAACAGACACAGAGCTAGGGTACAGAAGACACACACACACACACACACACACACACACACACACACACACACACACACACACACACACACACTGAAGCAGCATCTCCTAAAAACTGCTCTCTGTCTCTGTGTCCCCCCTCAGGGCGAAGTCAAAGAATGGTGGCCGCTGTCTGAGAGAGCGTCTGGAGAAGATTGGCCTCAACCTGCCCGCCGGGCGCCGCAAGGCCGCCAACGTCACTCTGCTAACATCTCTTGTGGAGGGTAGGGGAAGAACACACATACACACACACACGCACACACACAAAAACAGTGACCTGCATACATGCTGACAGAAACAGACACATATTCACATAGAAAATATCTCTGCATGAGCACACATGAATAAACAGTCAGAGCACGGGTGGCTGCTTTCGTGCGGGGCCACACACAAGGGAAGGGTGTCGTTTGTAAAGTCTGCGTGCGCCTGCCACACAAAGCCAAAGAGCAATGAACTGTTTGAGTGGTGAAAGTGAGAAAAACGGCTGCAGAGTTTGTCTTGTGACCCGGCCTGACCCGAGCACTCACAGAAAAATCGATGTTGTGTCATTTTAAGAGACTTTCTAAGACATTGTATTTGAGTTACATCTAAAATGAGACTTAACTAATGCAGCACACTGATCATGATTCTTCTAGATAGTTTTAATAGACACACTCTCATCCTCCTCTTCCTCCTCCTCCTCCTCCTCCTGCAGGTGAGGCCGTCCATCTGGCGCGGGACTTTGGTTACGTGTGTGAGACAGAGTTTCCAGCCAGAGCCACAGCTGAGTATCTGTGCAGGCAGAGCGAGCCGGACCAGCTCCCAACACGCCGCAGCATGCTGCTCGCCACAAAGTGAGTGCTTCCTCCACACGTTTGGATATCCTAACGCAAAGTTTGTCTTTAAAGCAGAACGTCAAAGTCAGTTTTCTATTTGTGGGGAAGTTCCATTCAAATAGAAATGATTTGAAAGCCTCTTGAAATTATAAAAACATCATTATTACTTGAAAATGGAACAAAAATGATCTCTACTTTCTATTGTGTACATTGGACTCTAAATTTCTTCGATACATCCTTGTGGTTTTGAACAGCTTTAAAATATCGTCTCAGGCGTTTCGTCAAGTTTTAGAAAATCTAAATTACATCCCTTACATTTTTTTAAAGTCGGCTTGAAGACGTCAAGCTGTTTCAGAAAGCGTGTGAAGGCCATGGAGTTTGAAAGAGGGACGGTGTTCCCCAAGGGTCCGTTTTGGGCCCTCTGTTGTTTTTGTTTTATCTGTTCTAACGGGATTCTAGTTGCATTATGGGAAGTGTAGGATCCAGTGTACTTGGACCTTCAAGCACACTAAGGAGTTCATTAATTAGTCAGGATATTTTGTCCTCTGATTCTTCAGATTTGTCTTTTTTTTCTAGTGTGCATCAAACTGTTTTAAAACCAAGTGTAGACTGATGAAGTGAGATCTTAGAGTTTTATCTATTAGAGCTTGATACCTGGTTTAATGATGCATATCTAATCCTGATCAATTAAAGTGGAAATACCAATGGGACATACATATCTCAGGCTTTGATTATATCCAATTTATTTGTGAACGTGAATGTCATCTGTTAGAAAAATGATTTGATTCAGTTTAGGATTAACTTGTTGTAACTCACCTGGCCTGACCAAAGACGCTCGACACCATGGTCACCATGTGAATGTGACCGAATTGATTTTCAGAATTTAAATGTATTTTTTAAATGTAAAATGTTAGAATACAATAAAATCTTGTAAGGCTACAGAGTAGTTTACCATATGCATTTATTTATTGTACCAGGTAGGATGGTTCCAACACTTTTTTAAGAGGAAGTTGCTTCACTACAGCCACAACAATTTTAAAGAGAAGCACAGTTTGTGCTCTTTATACTTTGAAACCATTCAAAGTGGAAAAGAAGAAACATCTTGTCATGTCTTTAGTGTTTATTTTAGTGGGGGCGGCTATGGCTCAGTTGGTAGAGTCATCGCCTCTCAACCAGACATTTAAGGGTTCAATCCCCAGCTGAGCAACATGTCCGATGTGTCCTTGGGCAAGACACTTAACCCTGCATTGCTCCCGCTGCTTCGGTGGCGGTGTATGAATGGGATTAGTGTTGTACTTACTCTCTGATGTACGTCGCTTTGGATAAAAGCGTCTGCTAAGTGAATTGTAGAATTGTATTTGAAACACTTTCAGACCCAGTCAACCTCATTAGCCTTTTTTATTAGGTGTTTGGAGACCTTCTTTTGGCACCTGTTTGAAGTGTCAGCTTCAGTTGAATACTGTATATTCCATCATATATTTTATGTTACCGAGCACGAGGTGGTTTAGGAAGAGTTTAAAGGTCGAGAGCAAGTACAGATCATCTTGTGTTGGTATGATATCACGCTAATGTCTCCTCTCTTCTTTTTTTTTCCTCTCAGGGAGATCTGTAAGGAGTTCGTGGACCTCATGTCCCAGGACCGCTCTCCGCTGGGCGGCAGTCGACCCACCCCCTGCCTGGAGCCCGGCGTCCAGGGCAGCCTCACCCACTTCAGCCTGCTCACCCACGGCTTCGGCACGCCCGCCATCTGCGCCGCGCTCTCCGCCTTCCAGAGCTACCTGATGGAGGCGATCAAAATGCTAGACAAGGGCGAAGGTGGAGGGAAGAGCCACCACGAGAAGGAGATGAAGCACCGCAAATAGGGCGGAGGACGGACTGCTGTGTTAATGTACGAGAGGCAGAAAGGAAGAGGGGAAAAGACTGACTGTTACCCCCCCTCGGTGTCTTTTCTTTCGCCCTCAGGATGAAAACTGTTACCTCCCAGAACCCCTTTGCGGCCCCTCTGGTGGAGGAGGCGGGGTTTACGATGATATCTGTACTGTAATGTGTTTCCACCTCACTCGAACATGACGCATGGACCTCTCTTCTCAGTAGCTGGTTTGTGTCATGATGGCGTCTACTAAACATCTATTCAGGATGAGTTCCTACATATGGCTGTATAGTTTTATTTACCCCCACTTCTACCTTTATTTTTTAAATTTTGGTAAACATGTCACCTTTATCAGTGTTTTAGAAACCCCCCCTGCCTCCATCGGTCGCGCTCCCGTTCACACATTCTTCGAACTGAGCTCATCTGGAAATTGTCGTAAGCCATATCTGAGACAAACAAACCTGCTCTTTTGATCCTTTGGAACTTTTGAGGAGACTTTTAACTCCAGCTGATTGGACGAGCAATGCTTCCATACATAGTTCTTTTTAAAGTGGTGGTCATGGGAAATTGAGTCCTCTGGGAGTGTGAGAAAAGGAGGAGTCAAAGGCAGCTACAAGGAGATTTGTTTTCTTTTTGTTTTGAAGTGCTGCGTGTTGGTAACTTAAAGAAAATAACAAATCATTTTGTACTTTCTGTGTATGTTTATTATTAATGTTATTACTGTTGTTATTATTATTATTATTGTATTACGACATAAATGTAATATATTATTAAACAATTAAGAACAATCAGTTTAGTTTCACGAGTGTGTTTTTATGTTGGGATGTTACAATTAAGATGTAAAGAAAATGAAAAATGGAGGTCTCTTTACCTTAATACCAATACTGACGTGACAGTGAGAGTCAAGAGGCTGCAACTAAAGGTACAATACGAAACATTCTGACTATTAATACAGCAAAAATCAAATGTACCCTATTCATACCCGATGTAAATGTATTGGGAGTGGGAGTAAAGCCTTCCTAAAAACAGAATGAAGTCAAACTCCCTTTGGGTGTGTTGTTCTCAGCTCTGTGTTCACATGGACAGGACGACGCTTCCTTCGGCTTGTTTATGTTTCGCTCAAAGTTTCAAACTAATTTCATTCATATTTTTTTCCGAGTGAATCCCTCCCTCTCCAACCGTCAGCCCTGCCACCATGTGGGGACGGTGACTCAGCCACGCCCACTTGAGGAAGCTGTGTCTAGTGGCACAATGACGGTGTCGTCAATAGAGTTAAAAAAGGAGAATCAGTAGACTTTCTAATTAGAAGGAAAGATTTTCTAAAGCCTAAAAAGACAAACATGCATGATGATCAGAACCTGAACTTGACTGCAGGTGTTTTTTGGTGCTCGTGGTCTGCTGTCGATGCCTTACAGAACCCCGCTAGTGAAGCAGGAGGAGGGAGGGGCAGCTGAGGGATGAAGGAGGTGTGTCTAAAGAGAGCATTGTTTTGATCTCAAAATACAATCTGAAAGTTGTCTACTAAGCCTTTAATGTTTTTTTTTGTCTTTTTTATCTTTAACAACTGCGTTCCTAACATTTGTATTCTTAAGAATAATATTCCAACAACTTTTAAATTGGATGCCAACAAAATTCACGTTTCCCTTAAGATAAAATGTAATCACGTTTATTCTGGTGCTATCTGCAGATCTTAAGGTTCTATTGTCAGGGCGCTGGAGGCCTAGTGGTTAGTGAGCGCGCCCCAAGTAGGAAGGCTACAAAGCAGGCTGCCCGGGTTCAAATCCGACCTGTGGCACCTTTGCTGAATGTTATTCCACACTCTCTTTTGCACTGATTTCTGCTTCTTTCTACTGTCCTGTATCTCTAACAAAGGTATAAAATGCGCCCCAAAAAACAGATTTAAATTCTCATAAACTTTGGTTTACTTCAAAATATCTGCAAAGATTTACATCCCCCTCCTCCTTATCTGTATTAAACACATGATTAATAAGAACTGACTAAGATGTCGAATGTCAGCCACTCCTCCATCAATAGCCGACCATCAAGACATTTCTATGAAGAGGATTAAATAAAGAACTAAAAATTGATTTCTCTGAGCTGTAAATCATGTCATCGCTGTTTTTTTTCTTTCAGCACTAAATCTATAAATTAGATAACAATATGATAAACCACTGCCCAGCTAACAATACACATTAATAGTGAAACAACATACGATTGTAAACATTAGGCGAGTTTCACCTCCTAGCTTTAACTAATGTATGCGCTGGTATTTTAAATGTATTTGTATCCCCATTAAATGATCATTTCAGCGATGCTTGAATGCTAACATTAGCGCCACATAACTAGCTCGAAGGTTATAAAACATGTTGCTTAACCTTGAAATATGTGTTAATGTCTGTCAGGATTTTTCTTAATCATTATCTTTACAGTTTCTGACCAATTGTTGCGTTGAGGTACAGCCGTGCTAAACATTAGCATGTTAGCCCAAAGCAAGTTAATTTAGCGCAGAGCTTCTCGCATGGATTTGAAGTCTTGTTTCTTGGTAAATTCCAAAAGTTTCAATCGCTTACTAAATATTTTCTATTCATTTTGTGTCAATAAACATCCAAATGATCTGATTGGGTAATTGTTTTAACCCTTTGTGAAGAGCTAGCCTAGCCTAATGAGATTTAGATGTGAATTAGTGGCCTGACTCAATACTCACTGTACTCAGGACAAATTGCCTGTGAGCATCCCAAGGGCCTTTAAAAAAAAAGTCATGGCCCCTGTATGGATGCCGGGCTCCAGCGGGGGCTTCACAGCTGCAGCTCTGAACCTGGGACTTCAGAGACAGTTGTGCGACCCCCTCTGTTCCCCCCCCACCCCCCCACCCCTCGCCCCATTTGTTCTGCACCCCTCACCTCTGCGGCGCTCTCCTTCACTTTGTTTAACCGGGACGAGACGCTCAACACAATCACCGCTTTCCAGGGACCGCACACAGAACACGTGTCGCACGCTCTCGAACATCACTCATCTCTATACCTGCCGTATGTCCCTCTCCCTCTCTCTCTCCTCCTATCTCATTACCCTCCTGTGTCAACCCCCACCTAATCCCCCCTCCTCCTCCTCTTCCTCCTCACCCCCCTCTCCCTCTATCTGACACTCAGCGGGGCCGCTCTCCATCTCTCCCCGTGCCTGCAGGCAAACATATGCTGCTCTTCCCGTCAGATTCCGGTGTGTTTGAGAGAGGAGGGATTGTTTAATGTTTATTAATCACCTGTCTGTGCAGCAGAGAGGAGACGGTGATGATAGAGCCACACACACACACACACACACACACACACACACACACACACACACACACACACTGGTTGTCTAACTCTGCCTATCTCTGACACACCTACACACAGCCTGTCTCACTTCACACACATACACACACATGTATGTGATGCTACCAGCTTGCCGGCCTGGTTTTTCCATTTACAGCTTATTTACTGTAACACTCTCTCCATGCAGTCAAAATATAATGTTTCAGCAGATACATATTAGAAAAGAAGGTACTCAATTCTTGCACAGTTGGCTGCATACGGTCCTTTAAATGAAGACCTCATGTGGCCTGATTGGCCTCTATCCCACAGCGCTTCTAGTTTCTCTAATTTCTCTCTAAATGATCTTTAAATTAAACGTCTTAGTTTCCTTATTGTGTCCTTTGTGGTCTCTTGTCGTGTTACTCTTTACAAATGACTGTAAAGCTATTTCTTTTTATATATGGGGTGCTGAAATGTTCTGGAAATTCTCAAGCAGCCTCCCCCTGAAAACGTCCTGAGTTGTTGGTTCATCACAGCTTGCAGTTTTCGCTCTTGAAAAATGTGAGCGGTTCGGGTGAGCATCCCAAGAGGATAGACGTAGACGAGGAGGGAAAAAGAACGCGCCAAGATGGCTGCCGAAAACCAGAGTCTGACACTATGACCATAGTTTTGTGACTGCTGCGAGTAATTGGAAGTATTCACAGAATCAATGAAGATAATTTATTTATTTTATTTTATTTTATTTTATTTTATTTTATTTTATTTTATTTTATTTTATTTTATTTAAATTAAATTAAATTAAATTAAATTAAATTATTAATTTAATTTTTAATTTAATTTAATTTAATTTAATTTAATTTAATTATTTATTTTATTTTTGCATTGTTAAGGCGAGCTTGGAACACAAAAATGTCATTGCCAGCTATGACTGCTTTGCCTGTTATGTTGTGCATTTGACTAATAAAGATAACTTGAACTTGAACTTGAAGAACATACTGGCGGGCAGAAAACACGATGAAGCAGCTTCAGTAGTTGCCTGACGATCTCACCAGGATGCAGGATGTAAACAACATCTCACAGTGGATTTTTTTCTGAATATCACCTGCAGTGTTCATACGAACTTCTTGCAGAAATTTCACGTTGTAACGGTTGTGAGAAAAACACTTGAAAATTCAGGATCTGGCCGGGAGTGAAAGATTTCACTGTCGTGTTCACACATGCTGCTCATCCCCCAAAAATTCCAGAAAATTCCAGGACTTTACTGCATGTGTGAAAAGAGCTTACAGAACAGCATAAGTTAAATCTAGACATACACTCACCGGCCACTTTATTAGGTACAGCTGTTCAACTGGCAGCAACTCAATACATTTCAGCATGTAAACATGGTCAAGACGATCTGCTGAAGTTCAAACCGAGCATCAGAATGGGGAGGAAAGTTGATTTAGGTGACTTTGAACGTGGCATGGTCGTTGGTGCCAGAGAGGCAGAGAGTATTTCAGCAACTGCTAATCTACTCAGATTTTCACACACAACCATCTCAAGGCTTTACAGAGAAAATATCGAGTGAGTGTCAGTTCTCTGGGCAAAAATGTCTTGTTGAAGCCAGAGGTCAGAGGTCAGAGGAGAATGGCCAGACTGGTCCTTTTTAACATAACTATGGTACTGACGATGCCTTTAAATAACAAGCACTGAAAACATGAAAGGGTGTCTCATTTGAAAGATGAACACTGAGTCTTGTTCTTCTGCATTCCTACAAATGTTTTAGGAGAGAATAAGGAAGAACGTCTTCGAATTTTGGTATATTTTTCTTTCTTATTGTTTTTCCAAGTATCTAAAAAAGTGTTTTTGTTTTCAACTTTTATTGTTGACCTTGGGAATCGTTGCAATAGCAAACACAGCGAGAAAATAGTGAAATAAAAATGTCCTTGAGTTGAGATTATTTTATACCAATAAAATACACAAGCATGCTTTAGTTGGACTGCTTCTTCAGCTTGTTGACCTTCCTGTTGGTGAAGTAGATCTGATAATATATCTCACACTAATGGATTCAGTATTTCTTCTTTTCTCCAGGTTGGACTCCAGGTTGAAGCACACATGTATTTAAATTCGGGGCATGTGGTTAAATAAACAGAGGCTCTAAAACATTGATCAGGTACAATATTTGGTTTTAAATATATATATTTCTCCTGAAGCGACGTGGATTTGTTTTGAAAAGCTGGCTGAGGTTACTCAGACTGAATGACAATCAGAACACCTGTACCACATCACCTGATTCATTCGTTCTGCTGCTGGTGCACACTGTGAGCCGGTTATGTTTATTCATTCACTGACACTGCGTCAGAGGTGTTGATACAACTCTATGCTAATTTCTTTTTTTTTAGGGCCCCATTTTCTCATGTTTTAATTAACTTCAAGGATATGTTGCTATTTTT